ATCTGGAAGATTACTCCTCCTCCTCTTCAGCATTGACAATCACCTGTCCTTTATCCATGAGTCTAAATGAGCAGTAGATGGCCTGGTTACCACACATGATTGCTTCTGGGCATTACTTACTTGACTGAGAGGGAGAAGTCCCCAGGAGCGCTCTCGCTCTCCCTGATGAGGAAGGCACCATCATGTCTCTGTTTGCCTAACATCTCTTCAGCCTTTGCTCGGGGAATCTTTCCAAAAAACCACCTGTGGCGTGAGGAAAAGAAAACAATAGGGAAAGTTAAGAATTTTAATCCTTTCATGGAAGGGCCAGATGTAGATATTCAGAGAGAGATGAAATGATTTTAAACAGAAATAACTATGCTGCACCTCACTGCTGCTCCAATACAGGCTACTGAACCATGCAGCTTTTCACTATGTTTTGTCCTGCCAATGAACAACCCTTGACTTGATAAGCAGGTGCTTGCAATAACCCTATTGCACCCAATTTAGCAAAGCAGAGATGTGGTAAAAGTGAAATCCTCAAATTACAGGATTTATTTTTCAGAGGTGGAAAAAAAACCCATGCTCAAAGTTTAATGCCTTGTTCACATTCTTTTGCACCCTATTGTATCTGCAGTTTAACGTATAAAACATCACAATGAGAACCCAGTGTACACAATTGCTTCATAGCAAAGTCCTGCTTTGTGAGTCTAAGACGACTACTCTGGAAACTGGCTACAACCTTGGACAAAGTTAAAATGTCTACCATGGTCTGCACTGATATCTTAGTGATCAGGCCGCATAACCTCAAGTCAAACAGATTAAATGCCTAGCTCAAGCGAGGAACTCAAGTCACTTCCTCTGTCACTAAGGAATGAAGTTTCATGTCTCTACATGCAAAGTTTTAATTGTCCAAACTGGATGATACCATCAACTCAGAGACAACAAAGAAGTCCTGCACCGGTGGCTGGTCACTATTGAACTTCCCTTTGACATAGCAGCATTTATTTCACTATTAGTACCCAAATATAATCAGTGGGGAGTAATTACACAGTCTCTTTTATTACTTATGCCTCCTAAGGAGAAGCCACCCATGCCTTAGCCATGATTTGCAGAGCAGACTATATAGAAAATTTAAGTTATTAAGGATTAAACACAAACCCCACTATTTTAGCAGGTAGAAATCTTAAATAAAAAAAGAAAAAAGTAGTATTTGCAAAATGCAAGGGAAACACTGGGAGTTCACTCACAGGTTTCTCTTCAGAAACATCACAGCTGTAGAAACAAGATCCTGTCTATGGATTGACCCATCCTGCACAAATGGCAGATGCATTTTGTATCAAAACCAATTTCTAGTCTCTTTTAGATCAGGTGGTAAGACATGACTACTTCAGAAGAAAGAACGAGTAGCTTCATTCAGCAGCTGCTTGTTCCTGCAGCCCAGAGTCCAACCTTTCTGACCCCTACCAGAGCACTGTGGTCAAAGACAGCTATCATGTGTCAGAAAGCTAAGGCAGGTGCCAGCAGTGGAATTACACGCAGACCAAGTGAGAAAAATTCCCTCAAGGTCTCTCTGCTTCACTGCAGAGGAGTGCTGAGCTGGCATGCAATTCGGTTCTAGGAAAGACGCTGATAATACTTGTTTCAGTAGCCTATTTTCTTGCTTTCTCGTACAGCCAGGACAATCTAGCAGCTCTCACATAAGCAGTCACATGAAACAGCTGCACCATGGAAGCCACATCTGCAATTCTTGACAGCTGCACAGAAGTCAAAGCCACAGGCTTACCACCACCTCCATGACACCAAGGGTTGAACCCACCTCAGGCAACCAGATGGTCAGCACTGACCAACAGCCCCTGGTCACGGGATTCCTACCCACATTTACATTTGCATTTCCAGACTAACCCAAGATTAAAGGCGAACAAGGGCTGAGTGGTAGGTCACATGGCGTGGGAAAAGCAGAACCACCTTCACAACCAAAAAGTACAGCTTTCAGTTCTGAGTAACAGATCACACAGGATAGAAGCACTTACCACAGCCTCTCTAACCATGCAGATGATTGCCCTTAGAGGAGAGCACTTAATAACAAGAGCTCCACTCACAAAGTTTACTTTCTACAGTGAAGGTTTTGGTGCAGGACAAAGACAGAAGTTGTACAACTCTCCCTGAAACAGTCATTCTTAAGAGAAGTTGAAGCTTTCATAAAATCACAAAGTCACCAGATCTTCCTCTCTAAGAAGCAGCTATCTGTAGAGGTAAGGAGGACTGACTACTTGATTACCAGACTCCCCAGCTACTGGCAGCCCTTGCTCCTCTCACTGGCCGTCTTCAGTATCTGCTCACCACAGGAGGCTACACAAGAACATACTGCTGTATTATATCAAGGACGATGTCTTTCACAATTCCTGAACTTCCTTGCAGTTTTATGACGTCGCTACCACTTTAGCCATTCAGAGTAAAGGGATTTTGAATTCTAAATACAAAAAAGATGAAAAGAAAACCCCATAGATGAAAGAAACAAAGCTAGTTACTTTGAAGGACTACAGTCTGCTTAAGAGCATGCTTGTAAAGCATCAGAAGTGTTGTGCACATATGAATCTTTGCAATGGAATGATTGAAAAAAATTAAGAAAAATCACGGCATGTCCAAGAGAATTAGGCCAAAGAAACTGACCACAACATTCCCACAGCTTCCCTGCTGAAGGGCTAAGCTTGATAACATGTGTCTCCAACTAGCTTTGTAATGTAGGTGAAACTCATCCAGTCAGCACTGCAAAACCAAGTCCAGGCATTACCGCTGATGCTGCAGAGCTAGAGGGAGATGCACTGATTGATACAACACAAAGTTCGCATTGCGTTCAGACTCATTTCAATCGGCGGTTTGGCAATTCTTTTGACTTTACTTAGCACAACCATTTAGCAAGGCCAATTTCCTCCACGTAAGTTACAATACTGCAAAGCGAGACTTCAGCAATATCTTCCAGAAAAGCTGATTACAAAGACCTGAGATACACACATCCCATGAGTCTGATCCACGCTGTTTCATAATAGGCAAATTCTTCTCCTGTCTCCTTACAGAGGGAAAGTCCTGCCACTGAAGTGCACTGTCGTGCCTTCACAGGAAGCCTCCCTGCCCAGAGTTTCCTGCAGCTCTTCTTGGAGTATCATGCCTATGACTGCTTACACCTCTGCTTTGTTAACTGATGTGACAATTTAGATTAACCCTCCAGAACTCAGGTGACTCAGCTGGTGACTGAGAGGCACCACACTTTCCTTTCAGCTTCGCTTGCTAGTAGTTACAAAGCAAACTTGAAGCTTTGCAAAATACAAGCAAGAAAAAACACTGCATTTAAGACTAGCTATGGGGCAAGAGGATTTAAGTTTCAGATCCTAGGACAGCCATTTTCAGTTGCTTTTTCTTCCAAATCCTCTTGAAAAGCTTTCGTGCCACCTTCCAACAACACAGTTTGAGACTAGTCTGAGAAAAGGAGCATTCTCTTTTTCACACCTTGTCAGCTGCCTGCAGTTTGCTCTTTGACCTGCTGGACTAAGAGAGCTCTGCATTATAGCTAACATTACACTGTAAAAACTTTTGCATTAATTTCCCAGGGTTGTTAATGCACTAGTTAAGACTCCCAGCACTGCTGACACATGAAGCTAACTCCGTCCAGTTGCCATCAGCAGTTTAAACATCTTCAGAAAAGGTCAAATTAGCTATGCTTAAAAAACACTACCAAATTCACTCACTTGCAGGCTAATACTGTTCGCTCCCCTTTGATATCAAAAAGCAAAAATCTGAGAGTTCTATCCCTCTAAAACAAAATACCATGGATGATTACAGAACAAAGTGATCATCATCATCACAGCAAACATCACCACAGCATGCCTGCAAAACTGTTATGAGAAGACATATGATGACTCAAATCAATGAGAGAGAGAAACTGCAATGTACATTTGTGATCCCCAGTGGACTAGCACGATCAAAGTAAACTAGGCATGTTACTGCAGCAAACAAGGCTTTAAACAATTTCAGAATTTTCTTGTGCATCCTTGCACCCTTCCATCACTTCTCACTTGGCTGCACTAAAGCAGTGTACCTCCTCTCCCTCTTGGGACACAGTCCCTCAAAAACATCCTTCTGCTATTTTAAAAGAGCCCTTAGAAAAATAATTCTTGATTGGATTTAACCACAATATCTTCATGATATAATTACAGCCAACAATTAACAAATCAATCATCAGTTTTTGTGGGCAACTGAAACACTACATCTCCTAGTAAAACCCTGATTACAGGTTTTGCTGGCTGCTCCTTCCTAAACATTTTCTCCCCTTTGAATCTGTTACCCAGAGGTTGCTGTCTTCTTGTCCAGATGTTGAAGTATCCCAAAGGTTGGCAAAACCAGAGTTTAGTAGAAGACAGCAGAAACACATGAAATGACACAAAGAAAATACCCATTCACAAAATACTATTTTCACATGCCAGATTCTTTATACCTAAGAGGAAACGTTCAAAGTAGTTACTCAAATACAGTTCTTGAGCTGCAAATCAATGCAACTATACTTGCATAACAGTACACACTTTGAAGTTGGCTTGTTTTGTGAGGAAGGTGTTGGACCAGATGAATGTTAGAGGTCCCGTCTGACCTAAATTATTCTGCAATTCTATACTCAGGGTATGACACAGACATACTACGAGTAGAGCTCGAAATATTCTGAAATATTTCTCTTGTGAGCTCTGAATAACACAATTTTTACTCTTATCTGCTATGCTAAGTAAAGTAGAGAATCATCACAGGAACACAGTCACTTTTTCCTGGGGCAGTGGTGCCAGCTCTCTACTAAAGCATCTTCTGCTGGTTTAGGCCAAGGTCAGTCCGTCTGACTCTACAGCAAAGCACCAGAGCAACCACCAGAAAAGCTTCCAAAATATCCTGGTATGTAGCCAGCTGTGAAATGAGTTACAGTGCAGATCAATGCAAGTTGCAGGCAGAGATACAACTCAATAGCCATCCTTTATCTGTCCATACATTTTGGTAGATCTGGTAAGGTACACTTTGCAAAGTACAGCAAACTTCCCTTCCGTTTGAGAGGGTGCTCAAAGTAAGATAAAGGGAACGTATCACCAGAGCTCTACTTACGGATGTGGTTTCATTTCTATGTAGTTCTTGGGAATGAAGCCGTCTTTTCCATTGAGTTCTGCCTTGTACCAATTCTGATCGCATTCTTCATTCAAAACCTGAAGGAAATACACACAAAAAAAAAGCTTACCACATTTCAAGATACAGCAAAACTGATGAAGGTACTAGCTTATTCTTCCCATTCTTGTTTCAAAGACTGCTCTTGTAAGACAAACCTATAAAAAATGGTACTAGTCATCCTGCTCCACTGCATCTCATGAGCATTCAGAACTCTGGTGAACAAAAAGCTGGATGAGTAGTTTAAAACAGCCAAAGGATTTTAGTGCCAAAACCCCATGCTTTAGTAAGTCCACAGGTACTTTTAATAACATAACTAGACTGTGATCTGTGCCAAAGATTAAGTTGGCTGTCATCGCCAAATAATTCTGTCCAAAATCTGCAAGACAAGAAATTCTAATTCTATATCACTTCTAATGACCATTTTTTCCTGAATTCAGCTGACAAACCTGATGCTTTTCCACTGAATTTCTGTCAACTGGTAGACTGCAACAGGCAAGCCTGGTACACTGACTGAAAGTAGTCTCTCAAGTAAAGTAGTATTATGTTCTGTAAATAAAGCCATGCTATAGTTTGAAACTATCTTTCCTCAGAAAGATTTTATTTGGTATTGGAAGTAAATGTTGCACCACAGCAGCACTTTTCCCCAAGCGCTTTCATTCCTTCTCAGCTTTCTGAGGTTCTTTTTTCCACTTTGTGACAATGGCTGACAAAAAGCTGGATCTGAGGGTTTGGTGGTTGTTTTTTTGGTTTCGGTTTGTTTTTTTCTTTGGTGTGGAATTGTTTGTTTGTTTGTTTTTTTCAAAAAAAAAGAAAGAAAAAAGATGTACTTAAAGCCTCAAGTCACAAAAGTATCACATGACTAGCATCGCCTGAATGCAGGAAGATGAGGAAATGCAAAGAAAAAGACAACATGAACACAGATCCAGAGATCACATAGCACATACAGACGTAGTTATGGTAAAGATAGCCACCAAAACTCCAAAATCTTCATAAGCAGTTAGTGTCTCTTCAGACTTTTTGTTGGGGTTTTTTTTTTTTTTTTTTTAGCAGTTACCTGCCTGTTCCTTATCCCCAGCTGAAGGGGCTGATGGCAGGGTGTATAGCCCCCAGGCACCAGCACTTCCATCAGGGATCTAGCACATCTACAGAACTTCAGGTGAGCAAAGATACACACCTTTACGGCCCAGTTCATGATATTTTCAGTTGAAGAGACTTCAATACTTAAAAGATCCTAAGGACTTTTATATGGATAAAAATATTCCAAGCTATCTTTTGTGCAGTTACTACTTTGGGCTTCCGTTTATTTATTTACAAGCACTGTTCTAGCATGCATTACAGTTCAGCCATTTAGCAAAGATAATGTGACCACAGGCCATAAGCAGTTCCAGTGTGGCTCTGGTACAGGCTCTGAGGTGAAAGCTTGCACATGGAGCACTGGTGCACATCAGCTGATGTCTGCAGAATGGCCTTTAAGCAAGAAAATGGTGCACGTTTCACAACTGCTGTACTGACTGCGATACAGCGTTCTGTGCAGAAACTGATTCAGCTCCAAAATATAAAATACAGGTAGATGACACCAGCAGGCAGCTCTGGGATACTGAGCAGGGAAGGTGGAGACTGAAAACAGATACATAAAAAAAAAGTGAATTGCATAGAGACTAGAGAGACACAGGGCACAGGCTGAAACCCAGATCTACAACTCAGTCATGCAAAGATTTGGCACACAGCTTGAATGACCAGGAAGTTTGGTTGTTATATACCTCAGCCGCCCTCAGAGTCATTTACAATACAACAGAACACAAACGTGACACATTTTGATGGGATTTCTAATAAGCCAAATCTTATGCAGTAGTGTGCATTCCTTTATCAAAGATAGCACAGATCAAATCTTTGATAAGATTGTGTACTACAAACTCATTTCATAACCATCAGAGAGCAGTTAAGGGATATGGTAGTCTGTTCTTTTTCCAAGAATTAAAAAAACGGGTAAATTGTAGCTTCATAAGAAGGACATTACCACACATTTGTGCTTTTGGCAGTAGGTATTAAAAATTATCACAACTCCTAATGCCCAAATGTAAATTATTCTAATGAGTTTTATCTTGCTCTGAAGATATGCTAATAGATTTGGAGGCGCCAAATCACATAGGGCTTGGGGTACTCATTAATGCTTGGCCTGAAGCCAAATGCCAGTGAGGGAGCATTGCCGAGGCACACAGTAAGCTTTGTGACCCACAAAAAAGAAAAAAAAAAAAGGAAGCTGGATAAAAGGCATAGTAAGGTGAACTGCCTACTCATATGCATGTACAACCTGTTCAGGGCACTTCTGCTGTAATAACGAACCCTCCACAGCTCCCCCCCTTCAGCGGCTTTGTTTGCTCCAAGGACTTTTTCCTGCTTCACACCCAGACTGACGTATCTTTGTAGCCGGTTGTCCTTTCTAGGATCATTTTAACTAGCTGTCACAGCTCCATTCACACCCTGGCCAAGAGCCAAACCTTCCATGCCCTATATTATATACCAGAGGGCTTACACACACAGAGTCACCCTGGAAGCACCCTTGTTTTCCCCTTTCTGGGTCTTCCAGTGTGCACTCTTACAGCTCCATGTTTACCTATCATTTCAAGAGGAGTCACCTCCACAACACAGATACACACAAAATCGTTTTTTTTCTGACAGTGTCTCAAATAGACACTGCTGGATCTGCTCCCAATGTTTAGTCAAGCAAAAATGACTTGTACTGAAGTACCTTAAATTCAGGACAACTTTGCAGTCACGTGCACAAGGCTGGAATTCTGGTGGCCGCTATTGAGTTATGAAACTACGATGACAACTGCAGAATAGTCATGTAAAATTTCCACTTCCAAAAAACTTATGCCATTATCATCCATTAGTGAAATACAACTAAAACGTAAGTCGAGAACACGTGTAATAACTCTCTGCACTGGTGTATCTGGCTTAGACATTTACATCTCACATTGCTCTCTTTTCTTTTAAACTGTAAACCCACTGAAATTAAACAACTGACTTTATGTAATTAAACCATTTCGCTGCAAAACTTTTTAAAAGCATCCAGTAAATCCATCTATCCCATACCTCCAACTGGCCTCCAAGTGATTTCCAGATAATTATTAAGATTAAAATTTGTCATCTGGGTACTTAAAAAAAGTGCTATGCCTGTAAGAAAAATAAAGGTTCTTAACTGAACTATGGCAAGATTTTCCCAGACTTAACAGAGCTATAAAATTTAGTTTAACTACTGCGTATATCACTGGGTTTTGCTTTGAAAATGTCCCCAAGTACAAACAAATACAGATAAACTAAGCAACAAAATCAAACTTAAAGATTTGCTGCTCCAAACTGAGATAGCCTTCAGAGTCTGCAAAAAATCTAAATGGCACAAACATTTATTTATCTCAACAGCTGTTAAAACCTGCTGCTCTTTGTATAGGTCAAAACATAAAGCCTTCCTTTGCAGCCAATCCCCTACAGACCTAATCAAGGCTATGTCAGAGTGGCTGTTCCTTTCACACTAGGGCTTCTGTGCCTGAGAGGAGGAAGAAGGAAGAATACATATTTTTAGCCGCTACATTTGAACACATACTGCCATGTGATGTCCTCAGTCTGCAATCAGCCCTGTTTTACATTAATAGTGGCTCAACTTCTGGCCACCAGTTTCCCAGTTTGATAATAGATCTCTTATCAACAAAAGCCCATCTGTTCCCATGGAAATGGAGAAGAGGCACTGCCGAGGAGCCGCACAGCACAGCACGGCAGTCACCAAGTTTTAGCTGGAACAGCTCACACACAACAAGCATTCCCGGCCATTTTCAATCCCATACCCTGCAAATATTTCCAAGCACAGCTTTTCTACCTTTGTGAATTGTTGCACACCAGTTTTGATCCTCTCAAAACCAAACAACTTTCAGGAATATGCAAGCACCAAACCGGAATATAACAAGCAGATCTGGCATCTCAACTCTCAAGCTGACTCCCATATGCAAACATAAAACTAAACATAAGGCCTCAAACATACTTACGTGCTTGCAAATTTAGCCAAATTCATCAGAATGTTTGGGTTTCGGAGAGACAAAACCCAAGAAACTTGTTCAGAGAAGGCTGTGAGTTTTGGCTGAGCCCCTTCTTTTCCCTGAACTGTAAGGTTTTGGGATTCTTGCCGTGCTAACTGAAACAGAAGGTGACACAACTGCTCAAGTACAACCTGTTAGCTGCTAATGTGGTTTTCCTCCTTGACAAAGTTGCACTGACACTGCCACAAAGAAAACAATGCAGTGTATTAAAAACACTCCTAAAGTCTCAGGAATCCAAGGAAAGCACTCATGACACTCAAACTAGGGCAGGAATTAAAATTATAAAAGTGACCAAATGATTCAAAGGCAGCAATTCTGCAACTGAATTTTCAAGCCCGGAAATTACTTGTCGAAGGGTGGAATGGTGGTTGGGAGGACGGTTTTCACCCTCCACAGAGGTGCTTTAACACAGCTTTTCATTTCAGAGAAAAACAGCTCCTTTTCTGCTCCATGAAGAGTGGTACGGACTAGCTACAAAACCAGCAAGTACCCACTGCTTCAAGGGAAGCTACACCTCGATTCAACAGAGCAAGTTCCATAGTATTTTTCTTTCCCGCAAACTTAGTGCAAACAGCACCACACAACACTCCAATTCATCTCTTTGGGGTTTTGCAGGAGACAACCCAAGACATGGCCTGGTAACCTGCAGCTCCCTTCCTCATCCTCATGTTGCATGAACTCCCTCCTCACTCCGGCTGCCTAACACCATCAACAAGGCGGCTGTACGGTGGAAATGGCATCTTAAGGAAACCTAGGGTAATCTGCACATCAAAATGACATTGTAATTCAGGTCAACCCAAATCAGAATTCTTCTTTTCTCGGTTTAGTCATTATGACACACAGTACAGTTAATTTTAACTTCAAACATTCAATGCCAAAAGATACATCAGACAATTAAGGCAATTAGCTCAAGAACGCATAAAACTTAAAATATTTTCCGTTTTTCC